TCTTAAACTAGAACTTGCACAATATCGTGAAGTAGCTGCTTTTGCTCAATTTGGCTCAGATCTTGATGCTGCCACTCAATATTTATTAAACCGTGGCGCGAGACTAACAGAAGTGTTGAAACAACCATCGACATTGACATTCGATTTCATAGTACGACTCTTATTTGGCTGGTATCTCGGTGCATTTTGGTTTCTGCTTGGTAGACGACTATCTGGTCTACAGCATAATCTTGCGATTTGGTTTTCTGTGTATTGGTCTCGCTCATTTTCCTTGCAGTCGAGTTGTTGATGTTTTAAGGTAGCAGCTTCTTGCCGTCTTCGGCTATGACCTTTCTGATATTTGTCCGCGATGTTCTGCTTGGTTTACCTCCAGAGACAATCCCTTCTCATCTGGCAAGTGTTTCCTTTGAGATGATATTATCTTTTGCTTCCCGCTATTTCTGGGACCGTGCCAATTTCTGACAGATTGAGCCCCAGAGACAACAAGGCATGTAAGTCCTCACAATTATTCTCACTAGGTTTTGGGGCGCTTAGAGAGGGGAGGTTGTTCACCCCTTCTGTGGACCGTGCTCATTTGTGACACCTTGAAGTCCAGAGACCACAAGACATGCAGTAACAATAATTTTAACTAGGTCTAGAGTGTTCGGTATAAGTAACATGAAGAACGCCTGAAACCCATAACTAATTGGTCCTTGGTTTCAATAACTGGGGTCCTTTGTGGAGGTCTGAATTTGGGTTGGAACCAATGAGTGATGGGTCGGAACCAAGGGGTGGGTCAATCTTTTCAGTCACTTATGCAACTGCTTGTGAAGGTTCTGGTCTCTTCAGCCATCACCGGTTGGGGGTGATGTGCTTGCAAGGTGAGGTTAGCTCTTGTTTGTCTGGACAGTCTGTGGCAGTGAAGTTCGGGCGTAAGGACTTGGGTGTGATTTGGTGATGGGGCTGTGAGCAATCTTTCAACTCGTCTCTATCTTGTGTGTTTAGAGTTACTTGGAATCAGACGTGCCCCCCCGTTTTTTCTTTGTTCTTTGTGATTGAACTCTGTCATGTGTGCTGTTATTGTTATGGCAGGATTTGACAGACCTCGAGGACATGGAGTTATGGGGCAGCAGTGTAACTGATGCAGGAGCTGCAATGTTGACGTCATTTTCACTACTTCGCACTCTGAACTTGGCGTGGACGCATGTCGAGACTGTACCACCTCTGTACAATCTGAGATCACTGAATCTATCGGAGTGTAAGCTCCATTCTGTATTTGCAGGCTGGGAGCCTGAACTCGCTCGAGAGAGCCTTGACTCCCTGTACAAAGGGGATGGATATGGTCGTGCCATTGAGTCTGGGATCCATCGAGCTGGGAATGCATATGCGGCCAGGGCCGGTGAAATGCAGTTCTACTCCAGACAGTCTCGCCCACGAATTGCACCACTCCGCATACTTCATCTTGCAGGTGCGACTTTTCTGCGGAAAGAATCCATCGTCCTTGGCAGTCCAGGCCTGGCAGACGTGGAGGAACTCTCAATCACCCGGACAGAGGTACGTTCAGGTGTCATTCCCTTCAGAATGGGAAGTGTGTCGTTACTCACACGTGTCTGAGATGTCCGTTTGCCTCTTCTTTTGCCTTGTTTTTGGCCATGTGCAAGGAAAGATGCCCTCGACCGTGCAGAGAAAGGCCTACCGTAAGCAAAGGCGGGGCAGGAAAAAGCACGCCGGGCCCAAGTGAAGGCTGCCCTCAGGTAAGGGGCCTGGGTGGTTACCACCGTGCAGTGTGCAGCCTTTGGAACCAACCGGTAGGCTCAGCCCAGCAGTTGGTTACATAAACTGGGCCTGCACTGTATTCCGGAAGGGCCAAGGGCGCAGGGTTCTGGGACAGGGCGCAGGCTGCTCGAAGCCTCAGCCTTGCCAGCTAGCACAAAAGAAGGGGGGCCGCGCAGCCAGCCTCTCTAGCCTCGCCAGCCAGTTCGGCAGTAATGCTGGAGCAGTAGCTGAGTGCTGTGCCGGTGGAGGAAGCTGATGTGGTGGCGGCAAGCAGGAGGAGGAGCACCTGCCATACCCAGACTGGTCGCTGCCATAGTCGGATGGTGGGAAATGCGGTGATTGTTGGGGAAGGAAGGGAGATGGGAGGTGGTGAGAACAAGGCACGTATCTGTCAGGTGATGAAGGCAGGCTGTTCGATCAGAGGTTTTGAGCTGCCTTGGGTGATTGACATGCGGACGATTGTGGGGTTGTAGATAGGCTAGACATGTAGGAGCTAGAAAGTAGGATGGGCGCTCAGGACGCCATTTGGAAGGATGCATTATCATTTTATGGATGATGGGAGGTGGTTGGAAGGGCTTCCCTTATCAAGAGACTTCAGTGTATTGCTCAATCTGATTTGGTGTGCATTTTGCTTTGCTTTGGCTTAATTATGTCGGGTCTTCTGTGAGGTGCTACAATCTGGTTTATTGTTGTTTTTATTGCTTGTTTCCTTGCACATGGGTATTTGCTTGGTGCCGTGGTCCGGGGAAGCTGGAGGCAGGCTTTATCGAAAAAAGAGAAAGATATATTGCCAGTCTAAATGCCAATCTGCTGGCACCATGAATGGCATCGAAACACCAGTTCAGCGTAGCCTGTGTGTACAAAGCTACCTTCCAAGGCTCCAAAGGCTAGAACTGGGCCTTTTCTTAGTGGCCTCTACAGGCCACTACTAGGCCAGGGCCAAAATGTCATGCTCTTATGGTGTACACTGGTAAGAGCCCGTGTTCACTTCGGGTAAACTGGTGGCTGAAATCTTTTTCCTCACCTCGCGTCTCTTTCTACCTGCCATTTTGGAAGGTAGAACTGTTTTTTGTTGCGCACAATGTGGTATTGGAAGTGTTTGTACAACTGTTTTTTGTGGTCCTGTTTCTGTTAAACAGTGTACCATCAGTTTCTGTGCTCAGATAGTGCTGTTGAGTTAAAAGGGTCGTGACTATTCATAGGACAAGGTCAGTAGATTTTCGCCTTTGTTGGCCATGGCTTGCCATTTACTATCGTTCTTTACAAGCCATGACAGGTGTGCATATTGTGTGTTTCTGCCGTCCTTTCCAGCCTACGTGAGAGGTTTTCCTCTCAGGTTGCTTGTGATTCATTTCCATTGTTTGGCCTTCCAATTGAACTGGGGTCTCACAGTTGGGAAAATATATTGTGGTGTAGTAGACCTTCCTGCTCTTTCCTTCTTGGAAAACTGAGGTTACTGAGCCGGTATCCCATGCACCTGTAATAACCCGCCAAAAGGCAGAATGAGAACACTGCTGATTTCTGGGTTTTGCCGCTGGAATGTATGCCTTGCTGACATTCCCGCGTCGTGCTGAGTTTTCTAAGTGTGTGTGTGTGTATGTTCTTGCTGGTCCTTGTGCCTCACTGAGTGCACGTCTGCCTGAGTGTGTGTCGCCCGACAGGTCACTTGTGTGTGTTGAGGTCCGCACGGACGGTACTTACCTGTGGCCGTGACTCTGAGGGTTACAGTGGGAGATGAGGCCTGCGACACTTAGGGCATGAGGCCCGCGACACTCGAATAGCGGGAGACAAGGCCTGCGACACTTAGGGCAGCGGGAGAAAAACACTCAAGTAGCAGGTAGGCCGGTACCACTAAAGTAGAGGTATCGGGAACTGGAGGCCGAGCAGAGGATGACAAAGGCATTTTTAGATGCCCAGTAGCAGTAGGCTAGAGGTAGGCGGGTTACAGTCCAAATAGCCTGAGTCTAGGCTCTGCACGGACGATGTCAGAGCGTGCAATGATGTTTCCCTGAAAAGGGAGGAGGTACCGTGTGGCATTCTACGCACCACACGGGCCCTGCAGGGCCCGACCAGGTGGACTAAGGGATCAGTAAGGGCCTTCAGGCCCTGTGTCATTTCAGCCTGAAAAGGAGGGCCAATGTAGGCCCTCTTAAAGTCGAACCGTCCTGAAACTTAGGCGCCAGACCAGGGATAAGCGCAGGCCATTTTTAGGCCCATTTCAAGACAACCCGTTTTTGAACTTGGGCGCCAGGGTCTGGCACGTTTCGGCCTCCCAGCCGGACCAGCACTATATAGGCTGGTCCGCCCAGGAGGCAACGGGCAGTCTTCAGGACTCGGCAGCAGCACTCTGCAGGAGTGCTACAGTAGTAGTAGATATTGATAGTGGTCTTCAGCGCTGGGCGCTGCTAGGATCTTAGAGTAGCGTTGGGAGAGAGAAAGTGGCGGAGGCAAGGGAGACTTACCTGGGAGCTTACCTGTGGTGCCATAGCTCCAACTTCGTCTTCGATGTTCCTGCAACAAGGCGCCACCTTCACAGGATAGTACCTAGCACAAGAGAGAGAGAGAGAGAGAGAGAGAGAGAGAGAGAGAGAGAGAGATTTGTGACTTCGGGATGATGACGATATTTGGATATAGACTCGACCTTGGGACAAAGATATTGACGAGGGACTATTTGGGATCCATACCAGCGACACTTGTGTGATTGTGTGATGACATTCGCATCTCCAACCTCTTCTTCGTCTGATCCCTCTCCTCTTCGTCTGTGTCCGATTTGAGCCTGGCGCCTGTGTGTAGCGCCAGGCCCCTTCACACCTTGGGATGATGATGATGTTTGGTCTGCATTGCCACATTGATTGGTCTGATCATTGGTATTTTAGCCTTCCGCTGCGCTATTCTGTACTATGTGAGAGGTCGGTTTTTGTTCTGGTCTGTACCATTATGGTATGCGACATACCGGTTGCTTGGAGGCTGCTGTCATGCCCAAACCGCTTCCAATGCCGGGTTCAGTGTCCCTCCCCTGACCAAGTGCAGTGGGTTGGTATACTAGCAAGCTGTCACGCAGGATTTTTGTTAAAGTTATGTGTCACAACACTCTTTCAATAAAGTAGCCAAAGTAGATAGTATTATCTGTGACGAGCGCGAGGCTGAGGGAGAGCCGAGGAGGGTGTGTGTGGAACGGGGTTGCGTTTGAGTTCGTCGAGAGGGTAAGAGATCTTGCGGGCATGATTGCATCTACGTCATTGTCTGCCGCCTGACCAAATGCTCCCACTTCATCCCTTGCACCACCTCGCACGCCGCCAAAGACATGGCCTTACTCTTCTTCGCCCATGTTGCACGCCCACCACGGCCTCCCCGAGAATATCATCAGCGACCGCGATCCCCGTTTCCTCTCACAGTTCTGGAAACAACTCTTCAACGCCTACGGAACTACACTCAAGTATAGCACTGCATTCCACCCACAGACCGATGGACAAATCGAGAAGATGAACGATACTCTCCAAAGAATCCTATGGAAGTACCGTCATCCACACCAATACTACTGGGATCGGTTGCTCACTGCCGCCGATCGCCGACAACAACGTTGTCTGTCCTTCCACTGGCATGTCTCCATTCTACCTTGACCTTGGCTACCATCTGCGCTTGGCCTTTGATTTCTTGCTTCCCACACAACTCAACCCCTCCACACCTTGACCTTCCCTCAATGAATGGGTAGCAACAATGAATCGACTCCACAGAGAAGCAACCGAAGCCCTCGAATGAACACAAGAACAACAAGCAAACAAGATCAACAAACACAGACGAGACTTGCAATTCAAAGTAGGGGACAAAGTTTGGCTCTCCGCAAAACGGTTTGAACCCAAACATGGATAGTCAAAGAAACTCTCGAACAAATGGCTTGGACCCTAGCCCATCATTGAAAAAACCTCCGACGTCAACTACAAACTCCAACTCCCCCCCGACATGAGCCGTGTCCACCCGGTCTTTTACGCCGAATACTTGAAAGAATATCATGAATCCCCACCCCAATTTGCTGACCGCCCATATCCTAGACCTCCACCTATCATGTTGCCCATAGGCCCTTAATTTGTTGTTGAAGCGATTAGAGGTCGACGAACTACTCAGGTATCTGACCACCCGGAATCAATCACTGAATACGAAGTCAAATGGACCGGATACCCCGACGAAGAATCTACATGGGAACCTCTCTCGAATCTCAAGAATGCCATGAAACTTGTCTGCGCCTATGATTGTGCTACTCCTATGTCCTAGACACCCACGTAACTACAACCCTGAACCCCTGTATAAACCTTGCTACAACCTCGCAACCCCCTTCTACACACACCCTCCTCGTGTGTGAGTTCGTGGAGAGGGTAAGAGATCTTCGAAACGACACAAGGCTGCTCGGCTCTCCCTCAGCCTCACGCTCGTTATAGATACCTACGAACTCACACGAACTCACACGCAACCCCGTTCTACACACAACCTCACAGGATCTACCACGAACTCACACACCCTCCCCACGTCCTTGTGTGTGAGTTCGTGGAGAGGGTAAGAGATCTCGGAAAAGTTGCGAATGAACGGGCGGTAATAGTTGGCAAGGGCGAGGAAGGAACAGAGTTGGAGGAGGGTTCTGGGCGGGGGGTACTCGACGAGGGCTGTGACCTTCGAGGGGTCCATACGGATGCCTTCAACGGAGACAATGTGGCCAAGGTATTCGACGCTCGAAGCCGCAAACATACTTTTGCTGAGCTTGGCGTAGAATTTTTGCTCTCGGAGGA